CTGATTAAGATGTCTCTTTATTCACACAGGGAAGGGGGTGTTAATTCCACTTTACTGGTATCCTTACGGCCCAACCCCCTAGAGACAGATAGATACCTAACCCTAATTCTTACAGATTAAGAAAATCCCAAGGTTCCATCAATTTCTACAAAGGATGAGACACAGAGAGCAAGATGTAACCTTACCCTAATTTTTCAAATCAGAATTTTACTGATACCAAAAAGAAAAAGAGTAATCTTACCTTCTAAAGTTTTAATTTTATATAAATCTAGTTTCAATGATAACAAAAATCTATACATAATTAAACATAAGTGCATGAGAAACCTAAAGAAATAATCTTCTTCTTTAAACCATGTTACCAATTTGAACCAAAATTTTCATTTTCTTTGTATAGGTGTTGAGGGTCTGCCACTCACGATAAATGATACATCTGTGGGGCTGACAAAGCTACTGGATGTTGTTATGGGTTAAATTGTGCCCCCCACCCCCTAAAAAAAGTTAGTTTGGACTCTTACCCCTAGTACCTCAGAATGTAACCTTAGCTGGAGATTATGTCTTTACAGAGGTAATAAAGTTAAAATGAAGTCATTAGGGTGGGCCCTGATCCAATATGACTGTTGTCCTTTTAAAAAGAATTTTTTAACACAAAGACAGACACACACACACAGGAAGAACTCTATATAATATGCTGTAAGGAACTACCAGAAGCTAGACGAGAGGCCTGGAATAGATCCTACCCTAGCACCTTCAAGAGGGATGCAACATGCCCCCTGCCCTTACACTTCGGCCTCCAGATCTGAAGGACAATAGATCTCTGTTGTTTAAGCCACTCAGTTTGTGGCACTTTGTTACAGTAGCCCTAGTAAACAGGTGTCATGAAGAAAACTAGCAGCTACTGTTTACTGAGCACAAACCAAGTGTTATTCTAAGCACTTGGCATCAAGAAACTCATTTAGTCCTTACAAAGTTTACTCTAGGATCTAGGTACTATAATTAGACCCTTTTTACAGATGAGGAAACACCAAGGCTCTAAGAGGTTAAGGAACTTGCCCCAAATCAGCCAGAGCCACCACTCTTATCACTAGGCTATAAGGAACTATTATTAATAGTAGTTCACTAAGCCAGGCACTAGGTCCTTTACCAATATAATAGACACAACAACCTCTGAAATAAATGTTAATATCAAAGGAGGGCCCTATCAGAGAGATTAAGAAATTGCCCAATATCTCACAACCAAGAACCATGACAGTGTATCTAATTGCCAACTTGAAGGAATAAACGTAAAAATATTCTTATATTAAAACTTTAAGAGCAAGTGAAATTTTTAAATGTCTGACCTTATAATTCAATACTAGAAATACACATCTATAAATTCAAAATTCTTCAAGATCCCAGAAGAACATGTGCATGTATCCCTTCAGCCATTGGTCAAGGGCTGTTTGTGCTCAGCTGTGGCGCCTTACTGTTTCTTTGACTTCCAGACACAGGAGAAGAAAAGATGTAAGGATTGAGATACTGGGTTTTTTAAATTTTGTATTTAATTTCCTGACTTTGATACAAACAAAAAAGTATTAAAAAACATAATACAGTGAAATGTCTCCTTCCCACAATGCGTCCTCTGCCTGTGCAGTCCCTAGACTTAACAGGTAACCAGTGTCACCATTTTCTTGTTTATTCTGCTAAAGTTTTTTTTATGCATACACAACAAACCAATACAAATTTCCTTCTCTCCATTTCTTTCTTCAAAACACACATCACACACACACTGTTCTGCATCTTGCTTTTATCACCTAACTGTATATCTTGGAGACCTTTCCATATCATACTGAATTATATTTTAATTGTCCTTTTGTTTGTCAAGAATACTTTTTGCTTGCTTTCATCATAATTCAGCCTAGCACACAGAACAGCCAGCAGTCCCTAAGAGTCATGTGAGACAACCGATGGGCGCACCGTATCACACATCAGACTGTCTCTTCTCTCCACCTCAGCTTCACTTTGCTCTTTTCTCCAACTCATCCAATTCTCCTCCTCCCCCTTGTTCCTCTCCCATCTCACCCATAGCCTAATCCTGACAACTGGACCTAGAAACAGCAAACACCACTGATACTGCTTAGTCATGGCTACCAAAAAAAAAAAAGCTGGAGACCACTGATATAGATAGAAAGCAGTAAATCATTTCCATGGGAACTTCCCATTAACAAGAGTGCCTTCAATGGAGGAGTTTCTGTTTGGAGTTATTTTTCCTTTGTTACTTAGGTTTCCTTTGGTCCTTTGGTTTATGAAAAGGGTGAATATTGGCACTACTTTCTAGAAGCACGGAAACAAGCACATACTCAGGCCTAACATTTAAGTAATGCCTGATTAAGAACTAGAGTTCATTCTGAAAAAAGATAATCAGAAACAAAGCCTAGAAACTACAGAATATGAACACTTTGGCTCCAAAGTATACATTTTGATTAGACTACCTTTTTTTAAAAAACTACATATATGTTTTTTAAAATATGTTTTTATTGATTTGAGAGAGAGAGGAAGGGAGAGGGATAGAGAGAGAGAGAAACATCGACGGAAGATAGCCATCGGCTGCCTCCTGCACACCCCTGCTGGGGATCGAGCCCGCAACCAGGGCACGTGCCCTGACCAGGAATTGCACCAGGGACCTCTTGGTTCACGGGTCAACGCTCAACCACTGAGCCACACTGGCAGGGCTACCTCTCTTTTTTTTTACTTAAAAAATAAATAGCTGTAACCTGAAAAGACATCTTAGGAACATTCTAAGGATATTTACAACTAGAGAAAGGAAAAAAGTTCTCTTTCCCTTTCATTTTCCATCCTGCAAGTTCAATGCTCTTCCCCACAAAAAGTGCTTGTTTTTCCTGCCCAGATCAAACAGTATAACTTTTAAGTTTGTTTTTTTTTTAAGTAATAAAAGGAGGAAGAAAATGTTAGCAAGTAAAAAATTTGTTTAGATTTAGAAGAGGTTTTCCACTAGCAGGGAACATAAAATTAAGGCAGCCACATAACTGCATTCATAAGCAGTTAACAGGCGGACACTCGTAAGGCACAGAGCTCTGACTTCCATTCTGTGTCCCTGCCAAGCCCAAGGGCTCTAGTACAACTTCAGGGGTTACTGTGAGACTACAGCTAACCCCTGAAAATATGAGTTTAAACTGCGCAGTGTTTTTTCCCACAAATACAATTTTCCTTATGATTTTCCTAATAAATTTTTTGTCTGACTTACTTTATTGTAAATATTCCATACATAACATACAAAATATTTTAATCAACTTTGTTATCAGTAATATTGTCAACAGCAGGCTATGAGTAGTTAAGTTTTGGAGGAGTCAAAAGTTATTTGCTATTTTCAACTGGTCAGCAAGGGGGGGGCAGCACCCTTAACCCCCAAGGATGTTAAAGGGTCAACTAACTGTATATTATAACACCCCAGGTTCTGCGATTTAGAGGTAAAATCTTAAACAGCATAAATACCTTAAAAAGCAGGCCTCTATGTAGCTAATACATTAGTTAAAACCAAGGTGACTATAAATAAAACCCAATACACTGATCCCAATATTCTTGGATTTCTAGGGAACCAATACCTGCTGACAGCTCCTTGCCTGCTTCCTAAAGATAACAAAGGCCACTAGGTCCTGGTGCCAAATACTCAGTGCCAAAGAGAAATACTCTTGTACAAAGTCCTCCAATTCCTAAGGGTTCAGAATCTGGTTGGGTTCACCATGCAACCATTCCAATTCTACAGGGAGAATGGCTGGAAAAACTGTTGCTCTGACTTCCTTTACACTAATATAAGGACTCATTATCCCACAATAGCAGCTGGAACATAAATGAAGATGAGAACTCAGTCTACATTTACCTAAAGATTTCCAACAGTCCAAATATTTAGTTTACACAGATTGCATTATTCTCTGATTTATTCAATGTATTAATTTGGAATTCTGCAGGGCCGATGACCACACAACAAACGATCTAACTACACTAATATCTAGATCCAAAGGAAGGCAATCTGTACCACCTGGCGAAGCTGGTGGAGGGTTTCCATCACTCCTTGTCTTTCCCTCTCCACCCTTCCTCCCACTTTCCTCCCTACATATGTCTTAAGCTTTGCCCCTCTGCTTAGTCTCAATGGAGTGTTCTGTGGCCATCTATGTACAAGAGACTAAAAGGAGCCAAGAGACTAGAGAAAAACCATATCAATGAGTGCTTTTTCATCTAAAGATCTGTCCACACTGCCCAAAAGCGGTTTATCCTGTGAGATGAAATTTGGCATAAAGCGCTACCTGTTGAGAAAAATAACGTAAATTCCCATGCAAAGGACTACAAAACAGCAGGACTCTCTAACAGAGCTGTACACATCAACCAACAGGTCTTAGAATGTCCTAATATCCTATATGAAGTTTCAGAGTAAACAAATAGTTAATGACACATCTTTTGTAACACATGAATCAGCTACAGATTTGCAAGAGTGGGACACGCCCTAGTACCTATAACTCTAAAGTACTTCTTTGAAAGTGGACCTGGATGTCTGAATTGCCAATCCATCCTATGCAGATAGGAACAGAATTTTACAACTATGTGGGCTGTCATAATTTAAAGTTAAAAATATTAACACATATATATAACACATATATATAATGCAAGTTAATTTGAGAACTTCATTAATATCTTAACTCCAACAATCAAGAAACGTAGCAACACAAAGTAAGGAATAACCAATCAGTCCTAGGAAGCAAGCATGATAGTTTTTGAGGGGAAAGGCATGGTTAAAGAAGGTTAAAGAATTGCAAATTTGAGAATTAAAATATTCTCAATTCTTTTTTTTTTTTTTTTAGCAAGAGAAAATAACCAAATTTAATACATACACATGTACGGGAACCCCACATACATGAGGGAGTCAGACACCCCACAAGTAGGAGAGATGCAAGAATATTCTCAAGTCTAAAAAATAAATGAGCCTTTAATTTTAAAATAACACATCTTACCTTAAGAGGCATCCAAATAGCATTCATAGTGTCAGGAATAGTTCAGACAATACTCAAAAATGAGCACGAAGGGGGGTCTCAGTAATCCCTCAGTCACCAAGTATGAGCAGGTAGGAAAATTTTTTATTTCAAGAAGGTATCTGAAAGAGAAGACTTTGATTTAGACTAAAAAAAAGATCAAGAATAAGCAAAGAGATTAAGCTCTCTGGACAGAGATGTTAAGTACTGTTGCCTCATCACCCTAAAAAGAAGTACAACACAGTCCTCTTTGGAAAAGGGCAACTGTGGGCATGTGTATATCCATATATACGTAGAAATAAACTACATAAAGGTGAATTAAACATGTAATATATATTTTAGATAATATAAAATTGCTTAATAAGTAGTTAGAAAATGAAAATCCCAGATAGAAAAATAATTAACCATCCAGGGTACTTCATAAACACTACTGGAAAGTGATTTGTTAACTGACCATCTAAAATAGACCCTTTACACCTTTACACATTTACTTTTATTTAATGAAAACCTCTCTGATCACTCTCACTGTCCTAAATTTTATTAAGTTTAAGTTTCAGAACCCATTCTACCTAAAAAATTTATTCTTGACTGAAGTGCTACAAGCAAATAAAAGACCGTTCTTTCGGAGAGATCTTTAAAAGCAAACCAAACAACTTAATTTTGAGGACCCGGAGGGAGGCCAGTGTGCCTGGAGGCAGGAAGATGGATTACATGACCTCTCTCGTAGAATCCTTGTTCAAGTCCTAGGCCTAAATGAAAATTCCAGCTTAACCAGTTACTGCTTTGCTTAAAATGGAGGCTTGCCCGAGTAGGGACAAAAATAACAGCACCCACCTCTGTAAAACAAATTTCGAAAAAATCAAAGACTACCATACTCTCTCATTTTTTAAAGAAAAATTAAAAATAAAATCCTCTAGTGTAGATTTGTTCCTGCTATGCATTTGTCACTTTGGCTTGGAAGACTTGGCATCACTTTCTTTAACGCT